CTATTCCGCAGAGCGTATGTCTCCTTCTTCCTTTCTCTAAACAGCAATTGCGCGCAAAACTAACCAATAAAACGATTACAAATTGCACTAGCTAAATGTTCGATACGAATAACAGCCAGCTCTATTCCGCAGAGCGTATGTCTCCTTCTTCCTTTCTCTAAACAGCAATTGCGCGCAAAACTAACCAATAAAACGATTACAAATTGCACTAGCTAAATGTTCGATACGAATAACAGCCAGCTCTATTCCGCAGAGCGTATGTCTCCTTCTTCCTTTCTCTAAACAGCAATTGCGCGCAAAACTAACCAATAAAACGATTACAAATTGCACTAGCTAAATGTTCGATACGAATAACAGCCAGCTCTATTCCGCAGAGCGTATGTCTCCTTCTTCCTTTCTCTAAACAGCAATTGCGCGCAAAACTAACCAATAAAACGATTACAAATTGCACTAGCTAAATGTTCGATACGAATAACAGCCAGCTCTATTCCGCAGAGCGTATGTCTCCTTCTTCCTTTCTCTAAACAGCAATTGCGCGCAAAACTAACCAATAAAACGATTACAAATTGCACTAGCTAAATGTTCGATACGAATAACAGCCAGCTCTATTCCGCAGAGCGTATGTCTCCTTCTTCCTTTCTCTAAACAGCAATTGCGCGCAAAACTAACCAATAAAACGATTACAAATTGCACTAGCTAAATGTTCGATACGAATAACAGCCAGCTCTATTCCGCAGAGCGTATGTCTCCTTCTTCCTTTCTCTAAACAGCAATTGCGCGCAAAACTAACCAATAAAACGATTACAAATTGCACTAGCTAAATGTTCGATACGAGTAACAGCCAGCTCTAGAACATCTCAAAATGATACCCAATAGCGGAAATGTCATTACAATATAATCTAAGAATAATCACAAGACTATTCAGCCTTTCTATTCCCAATCCCCCGCATGGTTCGCCTCGTTTTTCGCGCTCAACCCATTTGCCGCCCGTTTGACACACCAAGGACGCCGGTGCCACTCTTTTTGACCACAGCACCTTTGGTTAGTATTACTGCTACCATAACAGCGTTAATGAGAAGGCCCTACTATAGTTGATCCTCCCGTAAGCGACCACCCAAAATGCAAAGACTTAGTGGTCGCTTACGGGTGGTGGTCACAAGAATCAAACCACAGGGGTTCTCTTCCGGGAAAAGGTCCAGGCACATCTACTTTATGGAAGATAATTTATTGCATGCGATTTCTAAGTTACGCCATATGTAGTTCCATATGTAGTTATGTATATTCCAAGTAGATAGTGCACATAGCGTACATAGAGATCAGAGAATGCGTCAAGTGGTCGCTTACAAGAGGTTAAAAACAATGGAAAATCATTAAACTTTCAGGCCCAAAAAGTGGTCGCGGTCGCTTACAGGGGGTTGTCACTTACTAGAGGTTCCAACTGTAAGGCTTTGACTGGGAAAATTTTGGTGTTTTTGCCTGGCGGTCGCTTATGGTAGGTGCAGTGGTCGCTTACGAGAGGTGGTTGCACATGGAGGTCCGGCTAAATATTGGCCCTCTGGGTTCTCTCGAAGTTTCCTTGGCACTTCCTGTTTTGTATTATTTCTTTTCCTTTTTTGAAAAATCGGACAATCACAATTACACGTTCCTGTTATTTCTTTCTTTTTTCTCTCTCTTCCTCTGTTTCTCCCTTCTCTTTTTTTTCGTACCAATTTGGCACATTTTGGCATAATTCCCGTCATAACAGAAAATAAAGAAATTAATAAAACACCTGTTTTTATCCGGTTTTGTTTCCGATAGTACCAGGTGAAATCATAGCTCGAGGACCAGAGGCAAAACGAGCTTATGAAAATGCTTTGAGAAATGGAAAGGTAAAGGTGTATCGTGGTCGAATCATGTTCATCGGCCAAGATCGAGCGGGAAAGACGAGTTTAAAAAAACATCTTCTTGGCCTGCCATTTGACCCTGATGAAGACAGTACAGATGGGGTGGAAGTTGACCCATCTACATTTGAATTTGACGTCGATCACGCCACGAATTGGAAGATCAGCAATGCAAAGCTCAGTGTTTCCCATTTTGCCAACGAGCTTGCAAAAATAGTGGCAGAAAAACTTCAGGAACAGAAAACTAACATGAACCAGGAAGGTCAAGATGAAAAGAATGTTAAGGTTAGCAAAATGTCCTGCAATCATCTCGAAAGAACTAGTTTCAATTATTGACGTAATTTGCCGTCCTCCATACTGGGTTGAAGAATCCTGACCTAATTAAAACCTCACACTTAAGAATACTCACGTAAATTGCTCTTCGCCGATTTTGTCGTTAATCTGGCCAGTTCTTCCGAAACTGAAAGAATACCAATGTTGGCAAACGCCAGTTGTTGAATAATCAGATGAGTGTTCATCACTGATATTTAATTATGAAGAGGGATACAGTTGGGCTCCAAAAAGTAGTATAGGGCGCAGATTTAAGGCACTTTTCTAACCTTTTTTAAGTTGAATCTGTGCTCATTGGAGAGAAGTATAATTATACATTAACGCCGATGAGGTCATCGCCTTTTGTCTTTATCTTATGACTAAAAATCAGGACGTAGAAAAATCTCATCATGATAACGTCGCTTTGGTTTTTAGGTTGTTTAAACGATTTCGCAGGTTTCAGGTTTTTAGTTGTTTTTCCATTTCTAACGAAGGAATACTCGCTAAACTTTCATTAACGTTCGATCACTAAAAGGTAATTAACATAACTGCCAGTTCCGCTTCACTGAATTTTGGCGCGCAATTCGTGCACATTGATGTGGGTTATAGGAAAGCGGCTCCTCTTTCAACAACTAACAAGATAGTTTTTGACGAAATGTTTTACTTACCCTTTTCCTCCTTTTATTAATTCTTTCTTTATGTATTTAGAATTTTTTCAGACAAACGAAAAAGAAGGACACCAACGAAACTGGATTTCATTCTCACATAGCTAGCAATTTGGAAATCGAGGTTGAAGAACCTACAAGGTGCATTATCGACGTGAAGACCAAAGAGGCTTCCCCTCCAGAAGACGTACCAGAAATAGCGACTGCAGAACCTACAATTTCCATACCCGAGTTGAAGATTGATCCAGCCCATCCTCCAGAAGACTTCACAGAAATACTTGTTCAGCATTTAAAGGGATTAAATCTGGAAAAAGATGCGGAACAAGCTGAAGATCACATGACGCTAGATCTATGGGACTTTGCAGGACAACATCTTTATTACGCTTCATATCCTGTGTTTTTGACGAAAAGAGCAATTTATCTGTTGGTCTACAATTTGAACAAGCCACTTGAAGCGGAGGCACTACCCTCTTTTAAACGAGAAAATTGCGAAGTTCGTCTAAGGAATCCAAATTCCGAGACAAATTTAGACAACCTCATGTCATGGCTTGCTTCAGTAAGTACTATGTGTTCACAACAAACGAAAGCTGGTAAAGAGGAAGAGAGGGAGCTCGAATACCTGCGTCCTCCAGTATTCATTGTAGGAACACATGCTGATGAGCCATATAAAAGTAATATCAAGGACATTGAATCAGAGATCCAGAAAGCGATTTCAGGAAAAAGCTTTGCAAACCATGTGATTCGTCCTTTCTTCGCCATTTCTAACAAGCCAGGTTCAGATGAAAAGCAGCTCGTCGCTCTTAAGGACAAAATAATCGAGGTGATAAAGCAGGAGCCATACATGGTAGAGGAGTTGCCACTTCGGTAAGTTTTGTCATAAAAGATCACTCCAAAGCAGTTTCGTCCTGTGTAATATCATATTTCCACGCTGTGAATTTGTTTGCGATGATCTTGAAAGTTACAACCAATTGCAAAACTACTGTGGCACTTCGACGAAAACCGGCCTTTTTACATCAAATAGCTGCTAGGTTCACATCTCCGAAAATAACACGTAGTCCCTCTCTCCCCTCCATTCAAAGTCTTTCATCCAAGTTTTCAGCATTTTACAAGAGGATCACAAGCACAAGATCATGCACAGGCCAAACGAGGTAGTGTGTCAAGTATTTTTGCAAATGGTCGTAGCTTCTTCAAAACACCATTCCAGGTGCAACTTTATGTTCAATCTTGATTTGCTAGGATGTTACTAAGACGAGTAACGAAGAACTACTAACGAGCACGGAGAACGGGAAAATTAAAACAAAATGGCAACAAAGCAGAGAATGGGTAATCAATTTACTGATACAGCTAGGGTAGACGTTAAGTTTTGTTACCATTTTTCAAGTCCCTTTACCCGTGCTCGTTCCGCTGTCCCCGTTGCTTGTTTTAGTTACATCCGATTTAAAAAACCTTTCTATACATATGCGCCTTTTACCTTGTCTCAAACTTTCATTCAGAATGCTGTTCAATTTAACGCTAAACCTAACTCACGGACTGGTTAAAATGACGATTTCGAGACTCAAGAATAACCTCAGCGGAGATATTTCTGACGCTCCCACATTCCTTGAGCCATTCGTATGCCTTTTTCGGTCATAACTTCGTTTTTCCTGCAGGTGGTTCAATTTTGAGAAGGTCATTAAAAGCTTGGTTGCAGCGAACATACAGTACTTGGGCCTAAAGGATCTACGGACGATTGTTCGGAAAGTATGCTTCATCGAAGACGAGAAGGAGATGAACACCATGCTGGATTTTTATCACGACCTTGGAATCATTGTTAAACACCGAAACACAGTTATACTGCAGTCCCAATGGCTAATTGATATTTTCAGGAAACTTATAACCATCCGTCATTTCAACGATATGGTAATTAAAAAGTAAAACTTTTGGGATAAATGGGCTAATTTTCTTAGGATTTATTAGTATGAACATTGTTGGGGGTTACAGAAAAATCTATGCAACATCGCAGAAATTTACCAACACACAGCTTATCTCCATAGGCGCACGGGCTAAGGGGGAGGGAGAAGGGGGCAAGATTCCACACAAACGCTCCATTATTCGGGAAAACCTCACTCGGGATAAGACTTAAAAACAAAAAGGAAATCAAACAAAGAGTTTTAGTATGAACACACTCAGTGATCTTGGTAATTTAAGCAATCTGATTAGTTTGTTATCTCGGACTATTCAAAAATATTCACCTCCTTGCGAGTGGATAATGTGTGAGCTCGGTTTTTTTCTTAATTTTTAAAGAACGATCTTTTAAAAGAACGAAACAACAAACCTTTTCGGCTATAAACTTGGCGAGTCAACAGAAAACAACAAAGCTTTACTTCTTCTCAGGTAAGGAAACAATTCAAACTTTTAACGGTTCCATTTAAGCCATTACGCTGTTGTTTGCGAAGTGATAAGCTTGTATGTGAATTACCATGTTTGAAAATTCTACAAACTTTCGCTTGATTTGATCTGTCAATCAAATCATACCCGCCTTTTTAATGGTTTCCTCTCTGATTTTGTTGAGATCACTTCGTGTGTATACACTAAAACAATTATTCTTTTCAATCTCGGTGAATAGTGGCTTTAGGAATATTTACCTCGATTTCAAAGGATAATTGTTAATGTAATCACGACAGTCGTTTCTAAACGTCAGTCTAAATGCGCACTTGTCAAATCTAGATGCGTAGTGTCGATACCTGTTATTCACTCTTCATCCCAGTACCTTCATTGATTTCTGTCCGTGGCGTCCATTGTGAGCTGGGAATCTGAGATCTCTAGATACATTTCAGCTTAAAGCGATCAATTCGATACTGAAAACTTATCTTCGTAGCACGATGTGACAGAATAGATTGTGCTCGCTAACGTTCATATTGAGCACTCCTGTGAGTAGAAGTCATTGTGAACAGATCTGAAACGGACAACGCCATGGGAGGGGTGAATAGCCAAAGTATGTTTCTAATTTTACCAGATCAAATAGACTATGTGAAGAAATTATTACTGTTTCATTAAGCGTGAGAATTTTAAACGTTTTTGTTTTTCACACGATCTAAGTACTTTTGTATCCCGTTTACAACACCAAGACGTTGGGGCATTGAGTAATTTCTTCGGGCAAGTTCGCCGACGCCGCTGTCCCTGAGCCAAAGTCCGAAGGTGCCCGTACGTCTATGAGCTTACTTAAGGCTCTTCAAAAAACAATATTTCAAACGACAGATGGAAAGGAGTTGTTTGAGGAGGCGCGCGATCGTGTGTGGAAGCGTTTTAAATTTAAGAACACCAGATCTGCATTTTTATTTTTTTCTTGTAGTAACATATTCGTTCCATTTTTGCAGAAATCCAAACATTCCCAACTGTGGAAAAAAATGGAGATAACCGGTGTTCTCTCGATGGAACTCGTCGATCACGTGTTTTCCAAATTTTGTCAGCAAAGTTTTGCGAAAGAAAACATCTTACACTTGATGGAACAGTTTGGTTTGATTGCCAAGTGTGCGTTGCCTATAAATGATGTGAAGTACTTTGTTCCAGCCCAACTACGTTCACAACCTGGACGACTTTGCCATTTAAAACCAGCCCTGACAGACCCATGCCCGTTATATCTTCAGTTTCCATCTGGATTTGTTCCACACGGACTTTTTACGCAACTCGTATCTCGTTGTACCAGATGGTGTTCCAAAAGTGAATTCAAGGAGGCGCCCAGACTCTTTGATGGGGTAGCCAGGTTTACACTGGTATCAAAGGATTTTACTCACCAGCTAATCTGTATTCGCCAGAAAAGCTTCATTAAGTTTGTTTTACGTCATTTTCAAACGCAGCAGTGTCAAGAAGCTCCACTGACTGAAACTGAAGAAATGGCCGCTCTCGTGTGGAGATTTCTAAAACAGACAATGACTTCTTTGTTGGATGAGTGGCCCTACTTGACCAGTTTGGAATATCACTGGTGTGTCGAATGTACCGACTGTTCTGAGGAACACGTCACGTGTGATAGCCATGGTAAAGTGGCATGCAGGCACGATGATTGTTCGTGCCTTCTTAAAATTCTACAAGACGGGCAAATGAACAATTGCCCAAAGAGCTTCGGCAATAAAACCACGAATGTTCCAGGTCTAGAAAAATGGTTTCCCATCAAAGGTGAGGAAAACCTGTATGTAACCACTAGAAATTTGCATGTTTGCCTGACTTTCGTTGCACCAAATACGTCGATATTTTTCGTTCAGGTCGTCTTAGCCATGAATAATTTGTTTTGGTCATATAAAACTGTTTCCTAAAAGCAAGTACACAATTAACGGTAGAGGCCCAAAATGTGGATGTCACATATTTTAATAAGAATGTTCGCCATTGGTGCATCAGTAAACAACACCCTATAATATATATATTTAACGATAAACAAATCGATTTTGGATGTGAGTCTGTAGCACAAGGAACAAAGTTACTCGATTCTTGGTCAATTTCTTGCTTATCAGGCTTACCTATCGGGAACTTTTTGTTGTATATGACACTGTCTTAATTTGACAAGGGCAGTAACAACAGATTATTCCTTTTGCTGATGCCTCAGTTACCACAGTTGTCCTTCCAAGACGCCGTTGTGAGAGTCGCACCCTCCCCCTTCTTCAAAGTCCAGATACAAAGGCGAACGAGTGATAAAAGGCGTTAAGTCGCAATTGTAGAGGAAACGCTTGTAATGACGCAATCAAGAGTCTGAAATTTTCCTACTTTTGTCGGAAGACAAACTTTATTAAACTTGGCAAAAAATCCCACCACAAGTTATTCTGTTAGGTCATGTTACCCTTCCGCGAAAACTCTGCAATGAAAAGCAACAGGGAAAATTATAGTTATACCCAAACATTGTTTCACAGAAGGGTGTAAGGCAAAGGGCACAACGCCAGTTGTGACAATGCCAGAGGATGAACCCAGGTCCAGAACACAAGTCAACCACTAGGAATCGTGCCCCGCTTCGTTCCCCTCAGGCTAAATATTCTTACTTTTCTGCCGATTTAAGGCTGAAAGTATTCCTGTATTATTCTTAGTTTATAGCGTATGATATTTCCCTTTTGGAGTATTATAATTTTAATACACATTCTTTTTCATGTAGATGTTCGCCCAGGTCATCATCTTGGAAACGACTTTGTCTACAAAATGACTGCTCTTCCAAGAGGGATTGCACTGATCATTAACAACGAGTTGTTTGCAGATGATACTGAACATGGCAGACAAACACCACGCCACGGCTCAGAAGAAGATGTACGTCAAGTAAAAGAAATGTTCAGCGCTCTGGGATTTGAGGTACACATTAGAGAGAATCATACAAAAACAGAGATGTTGAACGAGGTGGACTTTTTTGCATACGAAAAGGACCACAGTGACTACGATTGTTTTGTGCTCTGGCTCATGAGTCATGGAAGGAGTGGCGAGGTGTTTGGCTCTGATGGTGTTCCGTTGCCAATCCAGACAATAAAAGACATGCTTTCCAACGCCAGCTGTGCAACACTAAGGGGAAAACCAAAGCTCCTTTTTGTCCAAGCATTCAAAGGGGATAAAGAGGACGGAGGGGTTAACGTCGTGACTAATGCATGTGGTTCGCCCCCTGTTCAAATGCCTTCTCCCTGTCCTGATTCGCCGATTGATGAAACGAAAAGTCCTTCACCGGAGAGGATGGTTTGGCAAACAGATTTCCTAACTGTGTACTCAACAGTTGAGGGATACGTGTCATACGGATTTCCTAGCCTAGGAAGCAATTTTGTTCGTGCAATTGGGAAAGTTTTTCGAGAACATGTTGCTCACGACCACCTCGTTAGCCTCCTGACCAAAGTAATCAAAAGAGTCAGCGACATGGAATCAATAGAAAACGCCCGCAAATTTAAACAAGCACTTCAATTTGAAACCACCCTTGTTAAAGAACTTTGGTTTTAATTATGACAATGAGTGTGAGTGTGCTTTTTGCTTATAGCTACTAACCCTCTTAAAATCCTGTTGTTCTCAAACTGCAAGAGTTTTGCAGAGAATTATGCTAGAAAGATGTAAATCCCAACTGACTAGGGTAAATAGAGGCCATCATTATAACGGATACACTTTTGTAAGGCGTTTTAAGCACTCTTAAGTATAGTTCCTTTACAAAGGCCTGTTGCTGTGTTCTAAGTTGATGACGTTTTCAAAAAATCTGGAGCTAGCCCACTGCACATTGGGAAATTTAAATAACGCATTTTTTGATTTATTATTGCCATTTTTCTTAAAATCCTTTCCAGGAAAATATGCCTACATTTAGCAAATTGAGCGAGTCGAAATAATCAGGGATAAGCTTAATCACGTTATAAGAGAAGTAGTCACTGCCGTCGCCTTTGCTCAAAGACATTGCAGTTGGCACAGATAGCCCAAGCGTACTTTGTGATGAATCGATTTTTAAGTGTTATTATCTAATATGTATTTCAATTAAACGAATAAAACCAATTAAAACCGCCTTTAGTATGAGGTCTATTTCTTTATCTGTTTATAAAATACAATTCAGATAAATCACGCACTCTGATTGGTTGAAAAAGAGTGAAGTAATGCGTAGGGACGCATGGATTCTCTATCATAAAACAAATAAAGAAGCCTTGACTGTGCTCTGTTCTGTTGAAAAGCATTAAGGAAACGAAGTAGGGAGAAACACAAGACTACGTCTTGTGTTTCCCTCGACAATTCTTTCGTGCTCAAGTCGCTTCCTGCGTGCTTTTCAACAAAATAAAGCACAGATTTAACCCTTTAAGCCTTAAGAGTGAACAGCATCAAAGTTCTCCTTGTAATATCAATGCTTTGTAAAACAGAGTGGTCACGTCATGAGAATTACTGACATGATCACACAAGATAAATTTGCTTGATATTTTATCAAATTCTCCCACTACATCTGTAGGAATGAATAGGGGGCAACAATGAGAATTCAAATTTTGATCTTAGGGTTTAAAGGGTTAAGACTGTCTACACTATACCAGATGACTCTTGCGCAAAACAACCAGTGCAGGCTAGCAAAAAATGACATTCGGAGTAAATGATTGATTGCAACATTGAAAACTAAAAACTCGGACAACCAAAATTAAAATGTCTTATTTACTCGAATAAGGGCTTCAATCAAGAGCCATGATGGCTCTTGCTTCGATTAAGTGCAGCCTTCGAATAAGCGCCGTATTTGGGACAAAAATTAGTTTATAAGCTATGCACCTGAATATGCGCCGCGACCCGGTCCCGTTTTAAAATTCTGTAAGTTTAATACGGATACTTATAATACCTAGTGAAAACAATTATTTTTCCCGTTCAACTTTCAAATAATCGCCGCCCTCCAATTAGCGCCGAATTTTGGGTGTGAACAAATTTAATTAGCGCCGGGGCGCTTATTCGAGTTCAGTAAGGTAAAAAGCAAAAGAAAAACAGACTGAAATGGCAGAATCTCTAAAGATATGAACTTGTAGGATTCAATCACTAGTTTAACAGCGGCATCTACAACTGAGATGCCAAGTCAAAACAGGAAAAAAAAGTATTCAATTAACGGTTTTTCATCCTCATTGACGCCGCTAATTTGTTATTCTAACTAAATCCAGAAAATAACAAAACAAAACAAAAAAGAAAGAAAACACCAGAACGAGCAAGCGCCCACTATTGTTTGCCTTTTCTGCCCATTTATTAATGGACTTTGTTTTTTTCAAATTTGAGCTACGAAGTCGCTAAAAAGATAGAATATCTATTGTGCTTTTTTAGCAACAAACACATGCACCCATCGGGGTCCTATTTTTCCTCAAGGAGAAAGGAGGCCGCGCACTGTGGACGTTTTGGGGCACTGGAAACTAACACTCATTCAAAGATGGCGCGGAAGGCATGGTTGGTTTTCTCCCGTTTTTCATCTACTTTGCAAGGTTAGTAGCGATTATAGGTAGATCAGACAGTAAGACCTGTATTATTTATCTTTTAAAACAGTTTTAGGATTGCTTGTGGAAATGTTTTACTCTGCATTTGGTAAGATCTTGACCCTCACCCTCGAAGCTTATGTGCTTAATATTGCTTATCAGGCTTGTTGCACAACTCTTTCAATAGTTCAATCTCACAGTCACTCCTCAGGGAGTTTTTAACGCTTTGATTTTTAAGGGCAAACCGGTGCGTTTCCAACAGCGTATGACGGGTTTATTTGCAAATTGGCTTTTTTATAGTGCCATGTAGCAAATATTGTTTATTTGTACGCTTAGTAGCCAGGCCTTTGACTTGGGAGTGGGTGAAAGTTTGAGATTTCGGGAGAAGAAGTTGATCATAAGAACTAGAAGGGAGATCCCTGTTCAGATTTCGCGTTCAATTGCAAAATCCAAAATGCGGATATATCGAAATCTGGATTTCCCAATCGAGCGCAACCCTAAAGTTTGTGCCTGAAGAAGCAAGATTGCTGATTGCTGATGAAGATGATCAATTTTTTTTTCAGATCAGATGGGTCCTGCACATATGTCAAGATTTCAACAGCCAGGATTTTGAGCTTATTATCTTTGTTCCCCCCCCCCCATCTGAAGGTCCGGGTCTGCCACTTGGGTCTTGCTATGTATTCAAGCTCCTGAGTGAACCAGATATAAAACTAAACTGCTGTTACAGCTTGTCCAAAGTAAGATTGAAGCATGGCTTTGTGAGTTTTTTGGGGATGTACCTGGCCTAATTTAACACAAAACTCAAAACTTTTTCAAATTTAATGTATTTGAAAAATAATAAGATACACTAGTGAAGGAAAAAATATTCAGCAACATTCTCAAACTTAAAGGAAGAATCTAAAACATTTTTTGCTCAATTTTTTGTGTATATAATTATCTAAAGGTAAACAAACGTTTCTTCTGATCTTTTCATGCAAGACAGCTAAAATCTCTTGGACTGTCTGAGGTCAAAGAGTACATTTTTCAAATTCAGTGTGGAATTAATTCGTGATTGACGGCATCAAGTTCATTAAGTTTGTTTTTATTAAACTTGCTAAATATTTAGGTTCAAATGATAATATGCTGTCAAAATTAAGTCTTTAAAGATTTTCTGACAAATAGCAATAATTGCTATTTGTCAGAAGATCTTTAATCTTTGTCCTGGAGTAGCAGACACAATCTGCTTTGAACAAGCTGTTCCACATTGTTAAATAACAAGTATATACTACCAGGTTCTGGTTTTAGTATAGTTTGGAAATCTACATGATATTTCTTGAGTGGACTGATTTATTGACTCACTGACAATTTTCAGAGTGCTCTATTCAATTCATTTAACTGATTGGCCATCTCACTAACTGACTAAATGGTTGACTGTCTCGCTGATTTTCTGACTAACTAACTGACTGATTGACTGACTCCTTAACTGTCTATTTTAGTGACTGTTTGACTGACGGACTGACTGGCTGACGTACTAATTGATTCAGTGACTGACTAAATGGATGGCTTACAGTTGGCTGACCAACCAACTGACTGACTTTTTGATGGACCTGCTGACTGTCTAGGTGACTTACGGACTGACTGGCTGGCTGGCTTGCTGACTGGCTGACTTGCTGAGTGACTGACTAGATGACTGACTCAGTGACTGGCTAAATGGCTGACTTTTTTGACTGACTGCAAACTGATTGTCTCCAACTGACTGACTGAATGACTAACCTGCTAAATGCCTGCCTTATTTACTAACTAAATATAACCAACTGGCTGACATGCTGAGTGAGTGACTGATTGACTAACTAAGTGACTCATTGACCAACTGACAAACTGGCTTACTGACTGAGCTGCTGACTGAGTGACTGACGTATTGACTGCCTGATATGGAGTAGCAGTATGGACTTTGAGTAGCGACACATCAATCTGCTTTGAACTTGTAAGCTGTGCTACATTGTTAGATAATAAGTATACAATGCCAAGTTCTGCTTTGATTCTTAAATTTGAGTGCACTGATTTAATGACTGACTGACAATTTCCGGATCTTGCGTAATTTGTGCACCCCTCAGTCGACGTATCGGTCTATTACGATGTATTGACTGAAAAGTGACCCATGTGTCGTTCGATATATTGACCAACATATTGGTTATATTGGTGGGTCGAGTGTCATTCAATATGTTGGCCCATTGTGGTTATCCGATTGTTGGCCGAAATGTTGATCGATAGGCTACTGACATTCCGCCAGAACTTCACTAATACCTGAGTACTCGGACTGTAGCCTGTGTTGCAGACGTAAATTCACTTACACTGCAGGTTAGAAGCGCCTGTGAAGGAGCAGCGCAGATATCCCTGTTCTGCCCCCCACTTCTCAGATGCTTCTTTGTATTAATTGTTGTATGTCACTGTCTGAAATTGGGCGCGGTCACCTCACTTCAGCTCCAAACAAAATTCCCTTGTTTTAAGTACAACATTGCAAATCGGGATAATCGCGAAAATGTTTAAAAGGATACAAAGTCAATTTTTCAGCGACGTTTTAATGGACGTTGACATTGTTGTATCATAAGGTCCATAGCACTTTTGGTCACCCGTACTAGACATTTCCAAGATGCTAGATGCTTTTAGAAAGACCCTAAAGCACATTGTATTATATACCCCCGACAGTCGACCAATATTCCACCAACATTTAAAGGTCACCGTATTGTCCAAGTGTTGACTGCTATACCGGCCAAATATTGACCGAATTTCGAGACATTGCAAGTCTATGACATCAAGGAAACATCAATGAAGACGTCAGTATGAAAAATAAATACACATTTCCCATACTAGAGAACTTCAAAAATAAATAGACTAGTTCAATTTGTAGACTAGTAGTTTCCATTGGCTGATGAAGTGCTGCATGTAGAGTGTGTGACAGTCAAGTACAATTCTACCCTTGTAAGCACATCCACTATGACACATATGTTACAGATGTACATCAGATGAATAGTTGAAGTTGCTTCTTAAATCTAGTGGTTGAAGGTCAAAAATCATTAATATATCAAGTTTTTATAAAGTGTAATGGGACTTGGCATGTTAAAAACTATGGGAATCTATCAATTAAATACATACAACAAAGTGAATCTGCAGTACTAGTGTTGAAACTATTTAACCATGGAGTTCCAGTACTTGCGTCGACTTTCTATTTTCCCAGTTAATTTTACCTCACTAACAAAGTGGCGACAACAATGACTAAAGATTGTTTTGCATCTTTTCTGACTGATTGACTGGTGGCTGACTTGCTGACTAACTTACTGACTTCTCTGCTTACTAACTTATTGACCAATTGACTGGCTGACTGACTGACTGACTGTGGCTGATAGACTGCTTGACTTTCTGGCTAGCTCACTGACTAATTGAC